ATCAAAGGCCACTGGATGACCTTGTGCAAACGTGTCAGTTTCCTCCCCTATAAACAGAAAGAATACCTCCCCTATCTATGTCACACGGGCGTGCAGCTCAGTTTAGAAAACAAGTATCAAACGCCAGAAAGGTATTTCCTTTATCAATGTGTAAATCATAAATTTTGTCCCATCTTTTTAATCCCAAAATTGATGCAGCAAACCCAGAAATAACAGGTGTGTCTAGTCTAACCCTGCCTTCTTGCCAGCTTACTACTGGTTTACCACAGCACACCTGTATAATCCTAATTTCCAGGAAGAATATTAGAATCCAGGTCATATACTCTCCATGTTGGAGAGAGGGATAAGTTAGATATATCACTATGTACAGGGGAATGTAATTTAATGTTTCTTACATCCTAAAGCATAGAATAACAAGGAACTTTACAGAAAGTGTTTATTATTAATTTTATAGAGGCAGTAAATGTAGGAACTAAGAGCATAAACTCTGGAGTTTGAATAACAGCTCTACTACTGCATGTAACTTCCCTCCGCCCCAGCTTCCACTTAAGTTAAATACAAATAATAAGGTACCTACCTCATAGGGTTATTTAAAGAGAATTAGATGAGATAATATATGCAAACGGTTAGAAAAGGGCCTTGTACATAGTGTTGTTGTTGTTAGGTACCACAGAGTAGGTTCCAACTCATAGTGACCCTACATAGAACAGAATGAAACACTGCCTGGTCCTGCACCATCCTCACAATCGTTGCTATGTTTGAGCCCACTGTTGCAGCCACTGTGTCAATCCATCTCATTGAGGGTCTTCCTCTTTTTCATTGTCCCTCTACTTTATCAAGCATGATGTCCTTCTCCAGGGACTGGTCCCTCCTGATAACATGTCCAAAGTATGTGAAATGAAGTCTCACCATCCTCACTTCTAAGGAGCATTATGGCTGGACTTCTTCCAAGACAGATTTGTTCATTCTTTTGGCAGTCCATGGTATATTTAATATTCTTTGCCAACACCATAATTCAAAGACATCAATTTGCACATAGTAAGCACTCAATAAATCTTGCTGCTATTGTTATGTGCCGTCAAGTAGATTCCAACTCACAGCGACCCTGTAGTACAGAGTAGAACTACCACAGTGTTCCCTGGGCAATTGACTCAAGGGCAATGGGTTTGCTTTTGGTTTAATCTTTATGGGAGCAGATCACCAGGTCTTTTCTCCCAAGGAACACCTGGTAGGTTTGAACCGCCAATCTTTTGGTTAGCACCTGAGCACTTAACCATTGCACTACCAAGCCTCCTTCAATAAATACTAGCTATTGTTAATGGTAAAGGAGCACTGCTGGCATGGTGGTTAAGGGCTTGGCTGCTAACTGAAAGGTTGGCAATTTGAACCCACCAGCTGCTCCGCAGGAGAAAGATTTGGTAGACTGCTTCTGTAAAGATTTATGGCCTTAGAAACCCTATGGAGCAGTTCTACTCTGCCCTACATGGTCGTTATGAGTTGGAATTGACTCCATGGCAATGGGTTTGGTTTTGTGTTTATTGTTAATAGCACTCATAACTCTTAAAACTTAAAAGTGTTGATGTATCTTCTCAGTAAGACATCACACTAAATTAAATGTAGTGGGAGGTGAAAATCATACAGCTCAAAATACCCACACCCAACCAAGGTGTCTCTGTCTTGATACCTCTGCCCCCTCCTCAATCTCCTCTTGAAAAGCTGTTATCAGAAATAGCACTTACAGCCTACACACAGGCTGTGACTCTATAATGGAAGACATCATTGCTCTCCTATGTCTTAATGCTCCATTCTCCCCCTTTCTCCTCATGCCCCATCCACCCTGTGACACAATCACAGTGTGGAACCAGGTCCCCATAGCCCATCCAGAGGTGGGATTGATAATCTGGGGCCTGGGGCCAGATTAGAGTAACTGCACCTGTCACTGGCCTTATGTTCTGACCACCACATTCCTCTCCTTCCCCACTCGTCATAGAATTCCTTTTCTACCAAGACTAAGACTGTACTCTAAACAAGCTAAGCCCTGAAGTGAAAGAGACTTCTGGGAACAAGGCCAGACCAAGACGCTGAAGACCTGAATTCTCCTTCTCAGGATGCTGTATATGGGGTAAGTCATTGGGACTTCCTGTCTCTTCGTTTCCTTACCCTAATGCTGTGATATTACTGCCTAATGTGCAGATCCACAAGGTTGTAGGCAGAGATTCAATGGGAAAATAAATGTGAAGGAAACACTTGGAAATGCATGAGAAGTCTATGAATGAAATGTAATTCTAATGCACGATTACTGGCTCATTTTCCTTCCTCCCTATTTATACGCTGACCTTGATCCTTGAAGTCATGCCATATAAAGATTTCTCTTATCAGGAAAATTTAAATTCAAGGAGAAAAAAATAATTATTAAAACCATAGTGTTCTGAACATGAGTGATATGACAATAAATAATGAGCAAACTCTGCATTGAAAAATACTGAACAAGCACAAAAAGATTGTTTAAGAAGCAAAAATACTCAATCAGCAGTGAATACTAATAAAGCTAAAGTGGATTTCCCATGTGAACCAGAGAGAAAAAAAGACACGCCATATTTGAGTGCTGTTGTGTGCATTCCAAAAACAATGTAGTAAAAATGATCAGGATTCACCTCCACACTCCTCCCACCTGCCCTGACCTCCAACTTATTTTCAGAGATCTGAATAAACCTGGTAGTACTGAACAGTGAGACCATGTCCATAATTCTCATGGGTTTCCTCCAGTATTATCCTAATACTCCAGGTTTTGTATTGGTTTTTCTTGCTGTGTTTTCTTTTGTTTTGTTTTTCTTCCAGCCCAGGACCAACCACCTCCCTCTAGATAATAAGAATGCTAGTACTTGGCACAGAGGCCACAACCTAATAAAGGAATTAAAAAAAAAAAAAATCTTTGCCATCAAGTCGATTCTGGCTCATAGAGACCCTACAGGAGAGAGTAGAACTGCCTCATAGGGTTTCCAAGGAGCGGCTGCCGGACTCAAACTGCTGACCTCATTGGTTAGCAGCTGTGGCGCTTAGCCACTGCACCCCCAGGGCTCCAAAAGGGATGAGAGTGGAAAAAAAAAGCCTAACACTTTGCAAGCACCAAATTGCCTACCATGTAGTATCTCTCTATTCTTCCTAACCCCAAACAAAAAAACCAAACCAGCTGCCGTCAAGTCAATTCTGACTCATGGCGACCCCATGTGTTGCACAGTAGTACTGTGCTCCACAGGGTTTTCAAAGCTATAACCTTTGGAAGCCTATCACCAGGCCTTTCTTCCTAGGCACCTCTGATGGGTTCAAACCGCCAACCTTTCAGTTAGTGGTCAGGCACTGAGCAGTCGCACTGATCGGTATTCCTTCCTCCTTCCAGAGAGATCATTCAAGTCTTACAGAGAAAAAAATTATTTGTTCCAGATGACACTCTAGTTAAATACCCCACTGGAGTCTGAAACACATTCTCTCTGACCCCAAAATTTGTGCATTTGTTCCACGCCATGCTGCCTCCACCAAGACAGCCAAGAGTTCTTCTTCTAAAGGTCAAGGGAAGTAGAGATTCTTTAGAGATTTTTGGTTCCTCTTAGGATTATGTGGCAGTAAGAAAGAGTAAAAGCAATCTTCTGTAGGAATGGGGCGTGGAGTGGTTGAGACAATATTAGATGACAGTTTCACTGTCAATACCAAAAGTGTCACTAAAAGTGGTAGAGAAATCAATGTGTAAGTATGCAAAGACCCTTTCCAAAATGTAAGTCAAATGGGCGAGATGCAGAAGTATCTAAATGGTGGAAGAACCAAGTGGGATTCAGAGAATAGCAGCTTTGATAGCTTTCAATAAAAACTCTTCTGTGTCTTCTGCACACAGAGAGGACTATGAAGGGCAGAGGGCGCATTTGGGGATCGATGGCAAGAAAAAATCAAAGAGTAAAGGTATCAGAACAAGAAATTGGATCAAAACTAACAAAAAGTTCTTCCTTCCATCTAGTATTCCAACTCATTCAAATAGTGTAAAACTAAGCATCAAATGAGGAAGGACATGTTCAGAAGATGAATTCCAGGTAATTTTTCTGTCCAATTTGACTTAAACTAGGTAAGAAAAGTAGGCTCTATAAGAAAATGTGAGTAAAACGTTTTCAACAACCAAATGAATCTCTCCTTGTAAGAAAATTCTGGGCTTTCTTCTCAACCAAGGTTCTTGTTTTGACCAATGAATAGTTTCAGGCAAAGGAAATCTACAGCAAAAACACAGCATCTCTAAGAAGCCTAACAGAAACCTTAAATCATTTTCAGATCAACTTCTAAAACAAAATATTTTTCCAGAAGCTTATTGTTCTGCTGTTATAGAGTAAATTAAAACGAAATTAGTTTTTATTCAAAAACTCTATCTGTTTGTGTAGTAGTAAATTGCTTTCAGTTAGAGTTTAGAGGAGTAAAAATTAATCACTTCACTCTAGACCTCAGAAAAGGCATTTACAAGAGCTACTCCTTGGCTGGACTAAGTAAGGGAACTGCAGCTTGTTAATGATGAGGCGTGCTCAGTGCATGCTCATCTTTTCCATCTGACAAGGACCACTTCCCAGGCTGAAGCACTTTCCTGCCCCTTGTTCTCCTCCACTGGCTACAGCAACTATTTTCCCAGTGGGCCATAACCATCCTACCCACGAGGGCATCCAGCAAGGTAAGCCCACGCCCACAAGCGCCCCTGGCTATTGTAAGGCAGTCAAGCAGGAGGAGAAGAAGGTGAGAAGGAGCAGGAGCAGAGAGAAGCAAAAGAGAAAGGAAAGAAAAGATGGCAAAAGTGAGAAAACGGGCAACAATGCAGAAAGGAGACAAAGAAACCGGGGAAGAAAAGGTGTCTGCTGAGAGGGAAGGTGGATCGTACCCCCACCAGCACAGAAGAGCCGCGCTGTGTACACGCTGTCTCCTACTTTTCCTCTTTCTTTCTCCCTAGAGGAAATGCGTAACAACTGCGCCTTTACCTGGATGAGCGCGTCCAGCTCAGTTGAGTTGACACAGGCGTGTTCGGATATGAACGTTTGTTTCTGGCTCACGATGGTGGTTCTCTGTGAAATCTCATGAGGCTGCTCCAATGCTTTGAACACGGTGGCTCCAACGATCAGATAGAGAACCACCACCAGGAAGATCGTGGAGACCGTCTTCCATTTCATAACATTAATGGTCGCGTCACTCTCCACCCGGGAAGCAAGCACTGTGGGTTTCGTGGAAAATGAGAGCCTTGGTTTGGAGTTCTGAGCGGCAGATTTAGGATCCAGCAAGTCGGGTGCCGCCACTGACAACAAAAGACAAGGAGGGTTAGGTTGAGGGGACTAGAGAGGCACTGCGTGGGGTGAGCAAAGCCTTCCTTAACCCCACTTGCTCTCCCGAATGAAGCCTAGGATCTAAGCCAGCTCTTTCTCGGTCTCGCCCAGGACCATGTATATGGCATAAAGGCAAAGGGGGCTGGGACTTGACTCTCTGCTGCTACTGGGGTTCCAGATGGCATGGGGAAAACAGGAGGTGGACCAAGAAACTTAAAAAAATGCCTGAGGTTTTCCTATTTCTAAAAAATGGGTCACTCTTTTTCTCTGTCCACCATGCTAGTCAACAAATACTTACTGAACTCCTAAGAGTCAATGCTACTAAACGAGATATTTGAATAGTCATGAAGAATGCTCAGGGTTTATCCTGTTCTCAAGAACTTCACACTTCATGCCATGAGTAACCAACTTAAAGAACATTCTCTGTATTTGCTTAAAAATTCATCAAAATAAGGTAACTGTATTATATATAAATTTGTGATCCAAATATTGCTACATAAAAGAACTCATCAGTAGTTCTCTGGTCAAGCATAAATACACCATTAAATAGCCAAATCATTTCTTTTTGCTTATCCTCCACAGCGGGCCTGTGATTAACCCTTCATTATATTTCATTATTCAATCTCTGATATGTTTAAAAAATAAAAGTTATTGCTACCCATTGTGACACAATCCTAGGTATAGCCAAAAAAAGACAAGTTCCTGCATTTCGACAATGAACAATTATAAAGAAAATAAAACGTTAAACCTTGGCTCACACCTTAGACCCTACATGATCTGCACAAAGGAAACTGTGCCATTAGAGTGGATTTACATGTTCTCTTACAAATTCCCACATACTCTGAGGTGACTCCAAATCCATTTATTATCTCAACTGTTCGAAAATATCATTAACGGATTTCTTTTTAAAAAACACAAGAGATGCTGGACTCCCACTCACTAAGGAAAAAATAAGCCATCTACTACAGAACACTTAATTGCAATGACAGTAGTGAACCAAAAGCGTTAATGGAATGACCAAAAAATAGGCCATTAAAAAACCACCAGCTTGACCAAATATAGTCAATTTGAAGTCCACTAACTGCTGTAAATGTAAGTAAAATGACCGTAGCGTACATAATACAGGTTTTATAAAATAATAACCTGGTGTCAAAGACACTGTTAAGTATGTAAGAAATCCCCATGGAATTGCACCCTACAAAAAAAACCCCAAAACCCACTGCCGTCAGGTCTATTCCAACTCATAGTGACCCTATAGGGCAGAAGCCATAGGGTTTTCAAGGAGCGGCTGGTAGATTCAAACTGCTGACCTTTTGGTCAGCAGCCTGAGCTCTTAACCACTGTGCCACCAGGGCTCCTGAAATTACTTGAGGACGAGTAGAGAATAAAGCATGTCAATTTTCAAGTGGCTACCTCCTCTGCCCTCTTGACTCAACGTAAGCGAAGTGTAGCACTACCCCAGTTTGAGTTTATAAAATAAATCCCTGGTTGCCCATGAAAATGAAGCTTTGCAAACAAAGATATTTGAAGCACTAGACCTAATTGTGCCGTCATATGATAGCAGATGACAGGGGCTCCTCCACCAGCAAAGCTGGGAAGGGTTCTGACTAAAGAGATGAAGTCGGAGCTCTGATGAGGTTAGAGTTCCCGTGGCTTCAGTGGAGATTCTGCATAAGTGCTGCTCGTTACAGCAATTTTTTATGGTTCAACCTAAGACATACAGGTATGTACACATTTCCCTCCTGATACACATTCATCTGCTCCAGAGAAAGCCACAAGCTAGTAGTCCCCTTTAAAATGTTAGATTTATAAAGCAGCTTCACTCAAAAGTAGCTCTGTGTACAATTTTAACGTGAGGTTTTCTATTTTTTTTTCCCCCCTTTTCTTAACAGAAGTGCTGGTAATACCTAAAATCGCTGTCATCTGCAGCCTCCCTCACCCCCACCCCAAGCTGCTTAGTGAGTCTGAATGAAAAATTAAAGTCCTAATCTAAAAACAAGCCATTTTTGGAATGAAAAAAGCAGAAAACTACACAGAAGCTCCCCCTTCTCTCTCTGAAGAAAGCTTCCACAGCTCTTCTCTGCGTTTCTCTGCGCTCTCATATTTCTGATTTTTCACATCAGTGGTTTCTAGTCTGTAGAACTGGAAAACCCCAAGGCTGTTCCTCTTGATGTCCCCAAATCGTAATCTCAAACTAAGGTATTGTCATTATACATTACACTCTTTGGGGAAAAGAGAACAGGTTTATATATACACATACACATTATATTTCCATCATTATATATGTATATCATTACATTTCCATATATATATTACATTTCCTGATGGAATTGAACTCTTAAAATACTGCCTTATTTTGTTAATTAGCTGAAATACATATAATGCACATTTGGCAGAGTGGGCAAACAGTCGAGTAAAATACCAAAATAAAAAACAACAGCCTTTCCTCTCAGCCTACTATGGGGAGCCTCTGAGGTTCCATCTCCACCTTGTCTGATGTATATGATCTGGGAGACAAGCTCTTTAGAACAAGAATCGAAGACTGGTCCCTTCCACACACACTCGGCACCATCACTACCCACCCCCTCCCGACCCCAGCACATCTCAAAAAACCCAAACACCAAACCCATTGCCCTGGAGTCAATGCGACTCTACAGGACAGAGCACAACTGCCCCGCAGGGTTTCCAAGGCTGTAAATCTTTAAGGAAGCAGCTGCCACATCTTTCTCCCGCGGAGCGGCTGGTGGGTTCGAACCGCAGACCTTTAGGTTAGCAGATAAGCGCTTATTCACTGTGCCACCAGAGCTTCATGAAGCACATCACAGTCTCCTCTTAATACTGGTCTCCCATCCTCACCGCGCTCCCTGCCGCGGCTGACCACCGGATACCAGGAGAAACGAGCTTTTTTCAGCACCACTGCCTGTCCCACCTCACCAACGGGCAACAAGTGTGATCACGGTCACCATGCATCCTGCTTGTCGGCCACTCCTAAAGGCTAGCCGTCCTCCTCGGTCGGAAACTCGCTCCAGGTGTTCCAAACACACACCCAAGGCAGATGCAAAAACCCCAAGCACGGGCGGAAAAGGGAGGAAGCGGCCAGGAGAGGATCGGGGGATGGGTCTGCCTGCAAACCCAAGACCTTAGACGGGGAACCAAGGTGGAAACGCCCGGGGTTTGGAGCGGAGCGTCTGCAGCCCTCCCGGGCCAGGCCGGGGCGGGAAGCCGAGGGGGTGCCGGGGTCTCACCTCCTGCTCTATAGCCGGCTCTCTCCTGCGAGGCGCTGGGAAGCATGAGGCATGCAGCGTTCACAATGTTTCTGAAAAAGACGGACTTGAAGCTCTTTTTACAGACACGCCATTGTACTCACTTCTTATTCCGAGACGGGCTGCGCGCTCCGAAGTGCACGGGCAGGCATTTTCCCCGGCTTTGTTTTACAAGGTGGGGAGAGCGGGGCCGGACGCGGGCGGTGGGGGGAGCGTGAGAAGAAACGAGATCGCGGGAAGGAGGGGACACCGGCGGGCCGGGCAGAGGGCGAGGCCGAGGCCAAGTTGGACTCCGG